CTACTTTCAAAAAATAAAACAAGTCGTGAGCTACTTTTACTCCTCTTTTTTTGTTTTTTGCACTGTATATATTTAAGAAAATGTATGCAATTTAATTATTTTAACCTGCTTTATTTGGGGGTGGACCTCACCTCCTCTAGGGGGGTCCGGGGGCATGCACCCCCGGGAAGATTTTTTTTTTAATGTTGAAGTGAAATGCCTCAATCTGGTGCACTTTGAGCGAAAAATGAATTTATGGATACAGCTCTCAACACACTGAAAGGGAGCTGTATACTTTTCAATAATCCAAACATCTTTAGAATATGATCAAAACCAATAACAAATCATTTAAACTTGTTTATTCTTATCTTATGTTACCTAGTTAGCATTCTTTCTTTTTATTTATGCATATTTTACTAATCACTCCCCTTTTAAACTTTTTTATTTTTTTTACTGTCCTATAGCACACATTGGAATGATTTCTTACTTTATTTTGTACGCCTAGGCTATATTAAATAGATAAATGTGTGCTCTCTCTAGCTCTCTCGCTCTCTCTCTCTGTCTCGCTCGCTCACAGAGGCTGTGTGCTCCTCCGTGGCGATGATGGCTTGCGTTAAAAAAATTATAATAAACATAGGCCTATTTGTAAAAACGGGATTTCGAAAAGTTTCACGGTTAAACTCCTTGTGAAGTGGTGAGGTGCCGCTCCACATTGCTTTTCTTCCCGACTGCAACGCTGTAAATGATTTTGGTTTCAGTTGTGTGTGTGTGAGCAGGCTCGGATTGGCCATCGGGAGATTCGGGACTTTTCCCGGTGGGCCGCTGCCTTTGGTGGGCCGCTGGCTCTGACATAGGTGGGCCGTGGACTTTCACAGCGCCGCTGCGCCGGTACCGCACCCGCCGCTGCAAACACCCGCCGTTGCGAGGCTCCGGCGGATCCGGCGCTGTGAAAGTCCACCGCCGTTGCGAGTCTCCGGCTGTAACAGTCCACGAACGCCCGCGAGGACCCAGGTTCGATTCCGGCCTGAGGCCCAAAAAAAAAACGTCATCGCGTCCATTCGTGACCCACCTATCACATCTCTGCGCCCCACCAGTGGGGCGTGCCCCACACTTTGAGAAACGCTGCCCTAGGTTGAAGCACTTGAGCAGGGCAGATGCTCGTAAACCTGTTCGAAAGAGGCCAAACATTTAGATGAAGAAGGTAGTGCATGTTGCAACAGAACATAGAACAGTAGGCTTACTGCCAGTAACTAAGTTGTCCTTAATCTTTTCGAGTAATACACTTAAGAATTTAAGATTTAAGGTATTCCTACTTTACTTAAGTATTTTAATTTTCTGTTATCTCTAATTTTGGAAAACAATATGGACGTTTTTACTACTTTAAATGTATTTGATAGTTACTCATTTATTTGCAGTTTCAGATTCCTATTGCAAACAATACTCAATCAAATAAGCCTCATATTTGATGAGACGTTAGGGTGATGTAAATATTTTTAATCCATATAAAATTATAACGCAGTAATAATACAATCCAATCTGCATAGTTAGTACATTTACTTATATATTATCCTATAATACTTTTTCTTCTGTATGATTTTGAATGCATGAATTTTACTACAGAGTTGTTGCAGTATTGCAATAATGAACAGCACGGTTCACTCCCATAGAAAATGATTTTATTTATTATATTGGCAGATGTTGCAAAGCATCATATTTCTACATAAATGTAGGTAAAACAAAAACATTTTAGATATGGAATTTGACCAAATATCCTGAATTATAGGATGTGTCTCCAGCCCAGACTTGTGCGTCGGTCAACATTCCAAGGGCATTACCTTCGAGAGGGACCCTGACCATTTTTGATGCCAAATCAGCAGCATTTGAGGCTCTAGAGTTACTCAATTTGGAAGAGCCGGGTCAAGTTTCCTGACTTTGGGTGTCTCCTGCACAGAATCTGAGGAAAACGCCCCCAAAGGACATGTTTATAGTCCAGTGGGTCTGGGGTTCATTGTTTGGGACACAATGGTTGGTCTGACTGGAGCCAACCCCGACATCAAACGGCAGGTTGAGTTTGCCCATGGCTGGCTCGAGGCCAGTCTGCAGGGATGTTATCAGGTCACACACAAGCACACCACACACACACACACACACACACACACACACACACACACACACACACACACACACACACACACACACACACACACACACACACACACACACACACACACACACACACACACGCGTTATTGTCAGTCAGTCTGAATCCAGATTACTGATAAGAGTCTGTTGTGTGATCTTTTCATGTTCAATAAGAGAGAAAGTGTTGTTTCAGCAATACATATGACTACATTTAAAAAGAACAGATTAAGAAACAATTTATATCCTCTCTCACGCATATACTAATTAACTTTGTCCTTGCATCGACTGTCATTCAAAAGCTTCTAACACAAATGTGTGATCACAGATTTGTACCAAAATTTAGTTTATAATCACAGTTGATGGCCTGAAGTATTTGAGTGGGATGGAATCATCACAATAGCCAACAACCTGTTTCTCCTCAATTGTCTTGTTTAGAAAAAATGCTGCCTGAAAAGTAGTCAATAACTGAATAAAGATTTATTGGCATTTTTGCAATTAATATAATCAATTGGAGGGCGACATTTAATACAAATATAGTTTTTCCTCGTTTCAACAAATATTCCTTCCAAATAAAAAAGGAATACATCATATTCAGCATTTAGTTAGGATTAAACTCAATTAATTTCCCCCCTTACATGTTTGACGTTATTTCTTTTATTAAAGTTTTGGTCAAAAGCATATGATATGATCATTTTCTTCTGAGAAACAAAATGATTTAAAAGCAAACCACATATCAATAACTCAAATACTGACACACAGTTATGTTATGAACTTTCTGTGATAACGTATTGTATCTTGGCAGAGAGGAAACAGGGGTGAAATGTGCACCAGTTTGAAGAGTGTGTTATTGTTTGACCATCATAGTTTATCTCTCATTATCTCTTCACTACTGTGACA